CAGTCTCAAGTCTTACATTCTTATCTGAACTTTTTGCTAGGTTCACAGTTAAATTTAAAGCTTCTTTAGCCTTTTTTGTAGCCTTAATGTATTCCACACAAATGTAGGCATAGTATTTTGTCTACATACAAATACAAATTTGTTCCTCTTGTTGTTTTTACACCACGTTATCACAGCGAAGCTCTTAATACATACAGTACATGCTGACTTTTTAGCATTTTTGTTTTTATTTCAGTTTGACTTTTTTCTCATCTTCTTAAGAGTAAAATCTCTCTCTTTCTTCTTAAGAGTAAAATCTCTCTCTTTCCTCCTGACCCCGCCCCCCTGCCTCGATGCCGTGTTATTTTCTTCAGCATGTCCTGCCATTCTGCCATATCACTCAAAGATTGTTATCCCATCTCACTTTGGCGTCTTTTCAGGCTGTTTTCTTGCACTTTGGCATTGAGCTGAGTACAGACAGATTATCATCACAGTTCAGGGGAAAGGCTCCAGGTAGCATCCCCATCGCACTCAAATATGTGGGTGGCACTGATAAGAGCGGTCAACAGGCTTTTTGGTCCGGCTCCCCTCCATCACTTAGCTCTTTTGCCCCGGCACCCCTTCCCTCTGTACACCCTCAGTGATCCAGAAAGAACCAAGATCCAGACAGACAAGACACACGCACGTATACACACGCACATCAGATAACGCAGTATGATTGGTCCCAGGCAGTGTGCCTTTCTCCTCTTGGAGCCATGACTTTTCAGTTCTTAGCCAGCCCTCTTTGTTTTCAACTTTTGCAATGTTCCAGGTTCCATTGCCTGCTACAATCTTGGAAATCAATCTATTTTAACCCATACTGATTCCTATATAAACAGTCATTGTTATTCAGACCCTGTTCAGTATCTCTCGGTTTCATGCCATTCATTTTGTCGTTGTTGTTGATTATTATTTCCTAGGAGGGAGAGTGTGTTCCTAGATTAGTCTTACTTTTTGGCTGATTAAAGGAGGTTTTGGGTTTTCTCTGAATCAACAGTGATCATCAGTCACTTAATTACCTCTGTCAATAAAGGAAACTGCAAGGACACAGCTGAATTGATACTGAGCTCTGACTGCAGGGTGTCAGTGTTTGTCTATGAAAGTATCACATGACAATGTCGACGCACAGTGTTTATGAAGCACCCTTGAAACTTTGAAAGTGTGATTTTTGCTTGAAAGGTCTTGAAATTGCAAACATATGCTCAAGACAGGACAAAAACAAATTGACATTTACAATTACTGTCACAGGCATCATTAGGTTCCAACCATGTGGCTTTGTTATACAATAAAGGCTTGTGTATGATTCATTATTTGGGTTTTCATTCCAGTTGGCACTGTGTTTGTTGTTGAAGCTGATCTAGAGCTTAAAGTTGAAGCTGTATTGTTTTTTTTTTTAACATTTCCATTGTTTACACATGCTACCACCACTAGTGGTATGCGCTGTGATGTGCCTTGTTTTTCCTGCTACAGCTGTCGTCCCCTGTGTGAAGTGTAATTTCAGTAACACGATAGGTCTCCATCCATGACTGCTGGCAAATGCATCCCATAACTGTAATGGACACTGGACCCCCAAATCCCTGTGCCAGCCTCCTGATAATCAATCAGGCGTGGCCTCCCGGACCCGGCAGAAACTCTAAGCATGGGGACAGTAGCAGCACCAGGGAGAACTCAGCGCCACCTGATCCTTGTGAACACCATTAGAGGCACTTTGATGCCTGGTGTTTCTGCACCTCTTCTCTCCACACCCTGGCTGTGTGACAAGGTCTGTTGCTATGTGCACCAGTCTTACCCAACCTCCGTGGGCAGAGATGCACACCAGCTGCTGTTGAATCCTGATCATCGCTTATGTTGTGAAACCCAGCTCTGGTCAGAACAGATAAAGCTTGGTAGTATCACTGTTTACTTGCTAAACCTTGAATAACAGCAGATATTAATCGCAGTTTTCCCTTTTTCAACGTCAATGCCTCTTGGCACTTACTCTCCTTAGTGCTCTGTTTATGTTTATGCTTTCAGGTGACTCATGTCTTCTGGAAATGTTTCTGTCTGGGTTTAATTTCCTCATCTTTTACAACTCTCTCCCTCACTCTCCCTCTTCTCCTGTCTCCCGCTTCCATCTCTCAAAGCCAGCGCCTCAAAGCCAAGCCAGGTATGATTATATCTTGGTTGTTGTTATTCTCAGAGGAGCGATGCACACGTTTTTTCCAGAGTCTGGACTAAGGGAGAAGCAAATATGTAAAAAAAAAAAAAATTTAAAAAGGAGAGAGAGCAGTGAGTCTCTGATCTGTTTGTTTGGATCACCATCCAGTTTGCCTCGTAGATAACTGTTCAGTAATTTCTACCATTTTCTGCTCGCAGAGGGACCTTTTTAATGATTTTCGCAGCACTTTCATGGACCACATCACTAAACACTCATTTGTGTTGTTCTCCAGGGCTTACATCTGTGGAGGACCGATAATTAGGCTTTGATGCTTAATGTTCACTCTGTCTATGCTGTTGGTGTCTCTTGTTAAATGGCTTCATGCAGCATCACAGCGACAAGCCTTTGAACGCAGAGTATAAGCCAGAAGATGAATATCACACTTTATTAGATAGAATAGATCTCTTCTAAGGGAGACTGGAGTCTGGCATGCAGTTGGCTTGGTGAAGCATCAATTGTATAGATGTAACAGAGGGAGATGTAGCAATATTTTTCATATCTTGCCTACTAAGTAATTGCAATTTTTCCGTTGATTATTGTCTACGCAAATAAAGTTAACTCAACAATAAGATACAATGGGTTTGTAGCTGTAGCTGCAGTGTTCTGGAACTTTGAACAGATGTACTTTGCCCAGTTGTCATGCAAGTGTTGATAAGCATATGTTCCCCCTTTTTTTCTGAGCACACAACGTTGAACTTTTCCAATGTTTTGGGAAGTACCCTTTTTTGCTTTGAGAGTTAGATGATTTATATGAAGCTAGAGCAAGCAACCAATTACCTTAGCTTAGCATGAAGACCAAACACAGGGGGAAAGAGCTTGCCCGTCTCCGCCCAAACATGACAAATCCATATACCAGCACCTCTAAAGCTCAGTAATTAACATTACACTAAAATTATACTAATTATATTAGAACATTATATCTCTCAAAAATAGGTGGTTTTATAGGGAATTACACACTGTAAGTATTTCTTGGTCCTGTCAGTGACTCCATTGGTTTCTGCCCATTGTCTGGCAATCTCACGCTGATGACAGGATAGGTGGATTAAAGATCTTGATCTTCTTTTAAATAAAGGTCTTGTTTCCATGTAAAAGTAATTAGATACAATTCTATTGTTCTTAAACTTTAAGTGAACTTTTTTCAATATGGCAACATTTACCAATTTAGCTCACATTTTCTAAAATATTAAATATTTATTACACTTGACAATCTACCAGCTGGTAGTAATTTAGGTAATCACTTCACCTCAAGTCCAACTACTGAGGGAGCTAGATCAGTGACCACCTGGATTGTTAATCTAGTGAAAGACTCACCAGTCTTTTTGAACAGCAAAAAATGTTTACCTCTTACTGGTTGTTAAGATATTGTTATTTCTGACACAGCAGATTTAAAAATTGCACTGTTAGCACTCAAATTTCAGCCCCTCTCTCCACATATGAAGTGTGAAAATATTATATAAGAGAAAAATGGAAAATATTGATGGATGAAAGAAAATGTTTTACTCTGTTCAGTTAGTATTTAGTCTGGGTCAGAACCCATAACAGACTATTACATAAATGGTTTATTTTGTCCTTAAATCAATCTTAAAGGGTGCAGTATTTTTTGTTGATTACTGCTTTTTAATTTGTAGTGAGAGAAATAAAGAGTGTAGCAGAAATGCGTTGTACCAGAAAAATTGTAATGGTTTCCTTTAATGATGTAGATCTTCAACTTGATAAGATGTTACACTCCATAACCACATGTAAACAAATTGGTATGAATGTTCTCTACAGAGTTTCATGGTTCTAATTCATTCAAACACTCCTCATAATCACCATCATGTTTTGTTCCATTAAAAGCGGCGAAGGGCAAATATTAGTGCAAGCTGTGCAAGTTATTATGGGTTGAATTAGTGATATACAGGCTTTTATTGCTGGCACACAGGATGGGGCTAATATGATTAGTCTGGGAATATAGAGGGGAGGACTTTTAAAGGACAGTTTCTGACAGACTAAAATACCCTCTAGAGTATCAGTTCTCGTCAAAGCTGGAAAGAACAATTGAGAATTTTTAACAACTCCTGAGTAAGCTTTGGTTGTGGAGATATTTAAAAGTTACATCTTATCTGTAAAGAGGGTGATGGAAAGCCAGATCCTTTCTTGAGATGAGTGTGAGTTCAGTCCATGCTCAGGCCATGAACCACCTGACTTGATGTGGTCCAAATGGCCCTGACAGGTCTAACAACTGGAAACAAGAAAACAACAATTTAAGTGCCAACACGTCAAGTTTGTTTTCCCCGTCTCACTACCAGACTGTGAAAACCTATTTTAATGGCAGTCTGAGAACCAAATGCGTAGTGGCATGCTGTAGAGATGGTAACAGAGACCCGCTACTTACTATTTTTTTCCTCTGTTAACAAAGACTCCACTGTGTGAAAGTTCAGATCCCGCTGAGGCTACATATCAGAGCTAAGCAAGCGCCTTTTAGGGAGAACACAGCATGCTGTCTTTGAGTTTATCAGCAAAGTGAGTACATAAACAACCACAAAGCCTGATAAAGAAGAACAATCTACAACATAATAACCCTGCAATTACACCAGGATAGTAAGTGTATTGCCTGATTGATATATTGTTATATTTCAGTGAACATGAGAAGATCAAAGCTTTGACAGTTGCACAGTGTAGCTGTGTGACTGATCTTATGGTGAATTTTCATGCCTGTTTCTCTTCCTTAGTATACAGATTTTTTTTAAACTGTGAGTTGTTCCTTGTGACTCCAATCTGTTTGTTTTTTTTCCCCCCTTACCAGGTTGAGCTGCATCTGAAGCCCATCCAGTCTTTGCTGCACCACCAGAAGCCACTGGTCTTCGTGCTCAACTCCCCCCAACCACTGATCTGGAAGATCAAGACAGAGAACCTGGCCCGGGGCATTAAACGTACCTTTCATGTGAGTCTAGCATCACTAAAAGCCTTTAAATCCTACTTCCTTCAACCGCGTATTCATTTCCTCACATGCTACACTGTATTCCCATTTCAGTAGTCCGCTTCTCTGAGAAACACATATAAATGAAATAAATTTTCACACACCACAAGGGGTTTCCCATAATAATGTTTTGATCTTGATGGCATGCATGCACAGTCAGTGTGGTGAGGCATTAATCTCTGTTACACATACATAATGTTTCATCTGTGCATACTTATTTAGCTACAGCTGTGCACTCTCCTCAGAACTATGCAGAATGATTCTTAACATTTTCTTTTGTGTGACTGTAAGATAATTGTGGAAGCAGTTTTAGATGAGGACATGCTTGATTAATATGAATACTCTTTGATTTAGATCAAGTGATTTAAATTAACTCATACCAGTATTCCCCTCTCACATCTTGGTGTAAAATGTATTTATCTAAAAAGATGAAATGTGCTTTCTCAGCTTTAGTCACTCTATAACCACAGGGCTGTATCCCCACTGCCTCCCCCCTCCTCTAAACAGTCCTGTTGATAGCTTGGCAGCTGTTCAAATCTGACAGGGCGTATCCATATACCACAAAAACCCTAACAAGAGGGAATGTGTGGTAGCAAACACTAAACCACCAAAGCTCTGCTGAGGAAGGAGTTGATCTCTCACCTTCTGATATTTGCTCAAATCCTGAATCATCTGCTAATTTGTTTAAATAATCATAATCTTAATAGTTGCGTTTGGTGACCAATCTGAGGTGCAACTGATCCAGATTTGTAACAACTTTAAAAACAGAAGTTATCAATGACCTAAAGTGAGGCTATGTAGCTTTTTCAGAAAACCACCCACTCCTACCATGTGGTAGTTACAGTACAGGGGCACAGTGAATTTGCCTTCATTTCACAACATTCACAAGAGTCAGTCAGTTACTTTAAAGATGTCTTCATGTTACTTCTTCTACATGCAAAACTGTAGTGGAAGCAAAAGTAAAGAATAGTCAACAAATCAGAAAAATCATCTATTTTAAATTAGCTAACATCAGCCACCATAATCTGTTGGTCAAATCTAACCAAGTTAGGTTGTTGCAGAAAAACTTAGTGTTTTGAATTTAGAACTGTTATGTTTTATTGTTTGTGAATTATTTTTTTCTTTGTAAGAGCAGGAAGGTGTTTTTTTTTCTTTTAAATTACATTCTCTTTCTTTGGAGTTGTCAGCAATATCAAAATAACTCAACAGAGGTGTATGTTAAGTCCAGGGTACATATGGGGGAGGATGATGAGATGATTTGATGAGGGATATCTCAATGTAGCTGATGCCAGGTTCCCTAGAGAGCCAGCCATATTTAGGAAAGGCACCATGGGGCCTCACAGGGAAACTTAATAAATAATGTAAAAATGGACTGTTTCAGTGCCCTTGGGAAAATCATAGCAAAATGAGATATAGACGCCTTAGCTTTGGCTTAACTATAGTATATTGCTATGGAGACTTTTTCTTTGCCTCTATGTGCTCAAAAGGCTTTTCTAATCATTTTTCAATTGTATGTTAACAGTACAGCATTCTGCAAGAGTGCAGTACCAGGTTCACAAATTATTTCCATATGTAGTCGGGTGTTTTCTTGCTTACTTCTCACACGCAAAACATCCCTCCATGAAAGCTAATGTGCCACGGAGAAGAACATTGCAGAATTCTTGTGTTATGCACAGGCTTATATATACACATTCATGTACACACTTATTATATAAAGAGTCTTGTGTTTCACTTACATATTCTTTTTGTCCCAGCCCCTCCTGACATTTAGAACAGAGCATTAATATACCTCATCGAAACAACATTAACCTTTTCTAGGCTTATCTGACATTTGACTTTCATCAAGCAGCCATATTAGTTAATCAAAACCTCTGCACTAAGAGTACTATACACTAAACTTTAAAAAGTAAATAAAGAAATGTTTATTTTAAGAAAATTCTTAGAGAACTTAAGAAAACATGTTGTTCTAAACAAACATTTTGTTTAGTTCTTGTTTGTGAGTAGGATGATAGCTTTCAGAGAAATACACAACATGAAGACATGAGGCCTGGCTCTCAAATAGTTATTTTAATTATTATTTCCTGTAGTTATGGAAATGTTCTCACGTCAAAAGAAACGGGTACATTTCATGCAGATGGATGTGCATAGTTCCTGCTTCTATTTTCCTAAACTGTGATAATGTGTGGCTAGTGAGATGGGTGTTTCTGTAGTGAGCCGCAGGTCAACATCACAGTAAATGTCTCCCCTTGTCAGTGATGGCAGACAGAAAACAGCTGACAACCATCATTAAAGCCTACAGTCCAGGCAGAGCTGTTGCTGAATGTCTAATGATGTTGGACATCAGTGCTTTTGCACTGCAAAGGGTCTTCGCTTCTTCTTAAACTCATGTGAAAAAGAAGTTGCACTGAATATACTTTTTAAATGAATACATCTCAGTATTAGCAGAATGTGTATTTTCAGATACATTTACAGTAACTGCACATGCTCAGCTATTCATCTGACTGAAACAAAAATACATTTTCTGAGACAAAATTCAGGTATTAGATTTCTCTGTTGGCCCTTCAGTATGATACCTGTCTGACACATAATTGTAGTTTTCAAGTGGGGGGAGGAGAGATAAAAGGAAACTTGAAGAAAGAGGCCCCTCCTGAGTTAGGTGTTAAGTATTTTGTGGTTGACTGACAGCACTGAGCCCTCTGGCAGTGCAAGCTGTTGGTATCTTATCCACTAGGCTGAGTGCACATGGCCGTAACCCGGAGGAGTCCCAGACGCTGCTGCTTTTCTCAGGTTCTCTCCACAGTGACACCTCTTTAACATGCCACACAAGTCAAAGAACACATGCCATCCTGCTGGAGGAATAATCATCAGCCTTCACTTCACTGTTAAAATTCACTCTTTTCGTCAGTAATAAATTGTAGCTGTTCGCTTAGCCCTGCCTCCCTTATTTACTGCTACGCCTGTCAAGCTTCCCGTTCATTCACGGCACATATGCACTTTACAATAATAATCACACCACCTTCAAAGGCTTTTGACAGGCTGCTCGGATGCTGTTGGTATTTGGGTCATCTCCGATGAAAAATTGAAGGTCAGAGAGCACCCCTATGACGATCAAGATGGTTTTATCTTCGTACGGGCCCAGCTGATGTCCTCCTCCTGTTTTCTGAATAGTCTCCTGGTGCATGGAGCCGTGGTGTTCAGAGTCGTAATGTTGTCCATGTAAGCTCTGCAAGGTGGGAGGCACGAATAATGTCCCCCATTGTGATCAGCAGTAGGCATCCCACCATGATGAGAGCCTTTCTGGATTCGATCTGGAGCCAGATCATGCCCCCAGAGAGCCCTGATATTCCTGCCTTCTCTACAGATATATTGATTTGTGCATAGATTTTACCCTCCATGTTTAGCAAGGAGATTGGTCAGAATTGGCTGATGTTCACTGCATTCACCTCCTATGGGATCAGGGCTTTCCCAGAAAGTAGTCAATGCAAGGCCTCCATCTGTCTTCCATAGCACCTTTTCTTTCCCTGGTGAATTCTCAATCCCAACTGTGATTTAACTTTCATACATCCACAGACACATGTCTGCAGTCTGTGACCGAATGCTGCAGCGGTAGCTGTGACAATTCCTGTGGTTCTTGGGCTTGTTGCTTATAGTAATTTCTGTCCAGTGTCTGTTGCCATGATATCAGTTGATAAGTAAATAGTAAGTTTTCAAACAATATGTTTTTGGTTTCAGACAAAGGTAGACAAAAGCAGGCTTCTCATTTCTAGCTGGCTGAAATGACAACTGTTGCTGTCAGATTTAATAACTGTGGCTAGCTAGCCAATTAGGCTAACATTAGCTCCATTAGTATTTGTCTAAAACATTAGCCATGCAAAAGAGGTCTCAAATATGCACTTGATGGCTACATATGTCTTTTAGCATATGGTACTATGCTAAAAGACTGTGGCTACAGTACAGGCTATGAAAAAGGCAAAAAAGTCAGCATCCTTACCAGTTAATGATTAATGTAGAAGGCATTTAAGTAAACATAAGCCTGTCTTGCTGCTTAGTTTACATACTTACTCATTCTATTTAAACTGTGTTTTCTTGTTTTATATCCATTAAAAGGCTTATAGGTTTTAGGATAAAGTGAAATGTTTGGCAAACGCTATTTTGGGATGGCTGTTATTGCTGGAGTGTAAACTGAGCTAAAATCTCAAAAGGAGAAGGTACAGAGCTTCTACCGTCTCTAAACTCTGATAACAACCAGCACTGGCTTCCCCATAGGGGTAAATTCTACCTAGTGGATGCGCTAGTTGTGAGGTGTTTTTTAAAGAAGAAGATTTTTATGTAACCTGTAATCCCACCTACTAACTAAAGTAAGTTAATAATGTACTCTCTTTACTCCGTAAGCTAGTTAGCTAGACATGCTAACAATTGAAGCGTACGTTAGAGCCAGTAAACAACAGCTGTTGCTAAACTACGATTGGACAATTGTTTGGGGGAGGGGTTTTGCGAATGGACAGTTAAATTAAAAACTTGGATCGGGCCACAAAAGTACTTCCAAAACTTCCTGATCCATGCCCCTCGGTTGGAGACGTTGTTGTAGTGGGAGCCTAGTCAGAGTCAAAATTAACTGGTTTTGGGCTTAATACTTCAGAACAGACACCTATTGCCAGACCTCCCTCACACTGCCTTTCCATTGAAGAGGCTGTTTCTTGGGACTAATTGGACTCTGAATCAGACCTGCCAGTCCTTGTTTCCTGGTCCAAGTTCTCTGGGCTCCGTGGACACAGATGGGCTGCCTGGAACAGATTCAGATACGCTGAGCACTCTGTTGCTGTTGGCCACTGGACCCTGTCGTCTTATAAAATGCCAGAATCCAGACTTGTTGTAAAACACGTTCTCCGCAGTACTCCTTGTCAATCAGCAGCAGGCGGGAATCTTCATGGGTCTAAAATGACATGAAATATGAACATTGAAAGCAGGCCAAATTTTATTTTACCAAGGGACATTAGGATTCCAAGTGATTGTGCTGTGTTGACGTTTTGGCCAAATGTATACATTTCTTTTTGGGG